CTGCCCCACTCCTCAAGAACTGAGCCGGATTTTGATCGAAATTCGTCCATGACTAAGGATTTGGCTAGAAAGTTGTTTCAGGGGTATTTCGACCCGTAGAACACGAATATCACACCGGTTTAGAGCGAAAACGCTTGGCGCCCGCGCCACAACAGTTTTGCGCGGGCGCCCGTAGCGCAGGCTACAGGCTCACTCGCAACAAACTGATGTGATATTCATGTTCTACGGCTTCGATAAAAAAATGGCTCAGTTCTCGAGGAGTGGGGCAGTAAGGGGTAAATAGTGCCTAAATATCAAAAGATCGAAAGCGCTGGTAAAGGTGAAACACGCTGTAGCGGTGAACGCATGCCTAGAAGCTATTGCAGATAGTGTGGTCGTTGACACGAATCCAGTTATGGAGACATTTGTACTAGACAGTGACTCGGAGTATGGATTTACTAGTGGTCGAGGTTTTTTGAATTTTCTTGGATAACTACTGACTGCAGCACTTATATCCACCTCGTGGATTGAAGCCTCGAGAATGCTCTACCATTTGTTAGTCATAAATGTTACCTATGAATTTTTCAGAAAAAAAGAAAATTTTAGAAAGAGTGTTGCAGAACTTTCTTTCCAACCTAATATATTCTCGCCTCGTGTTGGTCTACAAAAGAAGCATTCTCCGATATTTATACTCTTTATTTTGAAATATTCTTTTTACAACACAAAAAAACCGCAGAGTGCATATCCCGCGGCGCTGTCATCGGCCTGAACAGCTTTGGAAGGATGGAACACTAGAGTAAGCGAATGGTAGACTAGAGTACTTTAATAGTCACTTTCTTCTTCATCCTCTTCTTCTATTCGGTTAGTGTTTACAGATCCCTTTCCTTCGCTCATCCATCGTTCAAAATTCGAGAAGATCCTTAATATAGCTTTTTCACATTGAACTTATCAATAATAGCAGGTTTAAAGTGAATTACTGACACCACACTTACCGTTGGAGGGTTTGTTAGTTGTTTCATGCCCCATGACTGTTAGGCGAAATTTCAATTAACATGACTTACGTTTTCTACCAAATATGCTTCTTGAGGGCACAGATCAGGGTCAACCGTAATTTGAAATTTTCGTGTCTCCCCAACGGAAGATCTGTTGATTTCAGGAAGCGTTTGCATATTTGGAGTGATGTGGGGAGAGGAAGATTCTTGGGATTGGAATTTCCACGGAATTTGGACAAATTGAAATTATATCATTTTTGCCGTCCCAACAGTTCCCCCACCTCGGTCGAGAGTTTTGGAGAGAAACCTTCGAAGTGTGTCAAGATGAACCGGGCAAAGCCACACTACATCTCCACCGCTGAAAAGGGGTTCGTGTTGAAAATGCGCTCCAAACGAGGGGACGGAGGGAGGAGGGGGGGGTTGCTGCCCAGTTCCACCTTCTCCGGACGTGACGGTTGACCCTGGGCCGTCCAAGCTATTTTAGGTGCTAGAATTATGCACTACCTCCATCAGGGATAAGGATATAATAGCACTCCTAATGCTAAGGACAAGAGCGTGGATAACGCGATCAATTCATTTGAACTAAAGTTTTTGATGTAGACCGGTGAGCTTTCAACATTCCTAAGATACTTGCACATTTTGGCTGCAAAGAGTGCGAAGAAGAGATCGTGAGCCGGAAGAAGAACATTTCCGTTCAAACCTAGCGCGGGTAGCAGCACCAGAGTTGGTGAAGCGCTAAACATAAGCAAAACTTCGGACAAGAGGTGTATAGATGTGAGCTTAAAGCACGGCTTATAAGAACACATACATTTATTGTACTTCGGCTGGCCCTGCAGTTCATCGTGTAGGTAACCATAGAAAAGCCGAGCATTGTATTAGGTTGTCTCATAAATAGTGTCGCTTTTTTTCAACCAAAAAATTTTCATCTAAATCCCCATGCTTTTACATCGAGTCATATACCATTCGAAAGAGAATTGTCTGCTCTACAAGATGCTATGTTCTCTTCCACCTATGTTCCAGGTTTTCAAATTTTAGGCCTGCGAAATGGGAGGTCCAGCCGACAAAAATTGACCAAACCGACAACTAGCTCTAACTTTATTTCCCTTGGAGAAATCAATCAATGATGTACCCTCTACTTACTCATGACCTCTTCTGAACATTCCACCCTTAGGTTGCCGAAAAAGGTTTGCCCTGTTTCTTTTCGAATTGGCCGACCGATAAGCCATGGCAATTTTCAAATTGAAATTCTTCCTCTGAAACGCTATTGTTTTATATCAACTGGTGTATCTTTTGTGAGCACTTCTTCTGCTCTATTCGCTCATTTGTTTTGTTTTTATGTTTGTTGGAATTAGCTTCGAATTTTAGGTGTTTAGGAGTAAGGTGCTTTATCCACGAAAGTGACCGCATTTCTTTGAAAAAAATTATCCCTGAGAAGATGAGAAAATCAACCAGGCGTACATTCCTAACTTAGTCATGACTTGTTCTTTAAATTCTACTAGTTTTTCAATGTCTCGGCTATAAAAAAATTTCGACCTAGATCTCAGGTAATGGTGCTCGACCGTCGAGTTCTGGTTGAAAAACCAGGTCTGGAAATGGAATGACGCGACTTGTTGGGAAACCTAATAGTGTAATGTTTAGAAGAGGTCATGCATAAGTAGAGGGTACATCATTGATTGATTTCTCCCAAGGGAAGATAAAGTTAGAGATAGTTGTCGGTTTGGTCAATTTTTGTCGGCTGGACCTCCCATTTCGCAGGCCTAAAATTTGAAAACCCTGGAACATAGGTGGAAGAGAACACAGCATCTTGTAGAGCAGACAATTCTCTTTCGAATGGTATATGACTCGATGTAAAAGCATGGGGATTTAGATGAAAATTTTTTGGTTGAAAAAAAGCGACACTACTTATGAGACAACCTAATACTTTACCCTTTTTACCAGGGCCCTTCATCACATCGTCCTGATGTCAATCACATGCGTTCGTGCCAAAAATACAGCCTTATTCCAAAGTTTGTGTAACAGTGGGCGTCAGGGCCCAAATAAAAAACCCCTGCACTTTTGTCCATGTGCGTCAGATGGTGATCAGACAAACACAGGGGATCATAATCTGGACTTATCACGGCTCAACTTTCTATCCGGTCAAGGAACACAAAACCATAGAAGGGGAAACTTGTCGCGTCAGTCTTCCATTCATTCATGCAACCGGCCATATTTTGGATAGTTTGCAGGGTGTGGCGACGATTGGCATATTCCATCTGTGATTCAAACAAGCCTTAAATGGTTTCCTACACAACAAGGTCACCTTTGTTTAATTGACGGAACCCATAAGGTCGCGGTGAATTGCAGTACTGGGGATTTAATCCAGTGAAATGAGATCAATCTTGATCAAAAGCTAACTAAAAATGCTTTACAGCAATTTTCGCAGCTGACTTTCACCACAAGAGAGCTTTTCATTCAAGTGATGACGTCAAAAAGCGAATCTGACAATGAGTGAAAGCTGGTGAAGAGCACGATCACATTCGCTTTCAAAAGTAGTTTACCTGAGGGTAGTCGTCAGTCAAATAAAGAGGAATGGGCTTCAGCGGCTTCTAGGCGAATGGGTTTTCTCCTCGCAGTTCGTAGCACGCCATTTGTGAGGCTTTTTTCAAATGTGTGCTAGTTTGTCGTAAATCTACGGCAATGTTTCAGTTTTGTGTTTTTATTTTTTTTTCAAAATAGATTCCTTTTCTCCACTACATCTAATAATGGACAATACGCGCCATCATTGTCGAAGACTTACGGCTATTTCTCAGGTAACTATGGCTGCGTGCCTAAAAATTATGAGGGTTCAGTTTCCCCTATGCCGCTATGAGCAGATCCACATCGTCGGGCTCCCTATATTTCAAAAAGTTAGACAGCGACACCAACAGGTGGTAATCATTGATTGACAGGTCTGGCCAATGTGATGAGCGGGCCAAAAACTGCCATGCGAACTCAGAAGATTTTTTGGGTTCCTTGCGCAATGTGTGGGCGAGCAGTACCGTAAACAAAGCAGACTTCGCCCGAATCTCCACGTAGAGCCGCGGCAACACGACCCCATTGATGCATTTTCCCGCACCTATGGCACATTCCGCGATTGAGCAGGGTGAGTGTAGTTGCGCTCGAAAATGAACACATATGTTATACTTGGTTCATCAGTAATGAAAGAAAGCAATAAAATGCAAAGAAGCCTGGGAATCACGAGCTGGTTGTATAGACGGTGTTCGCGGCTCATCCTCATCAAAGTCTCATGCAGTCCATACGAAGTCCGATTGGGCGTGTCACCGGACTCGATAGAAGTTAGGCTAATGTCAGACTTTGCGAATCGCGCGATTCGC